CGTGAGCAAGCATGAATGAAAGGTCAGTTAATGTGTAGCTGGGCCCGACTTCGTAACTAGAACCGTTTTGGCACACATTCATGTTATTGGTGGAAGTATTTTTCCCCATAAAAGAATACATAAGGCAACGGGAACCACCAGACCATAAAACAACAAATCAAATTGATCAACTATGGATTAACAAAAAGTTTAGATAACCCCTTTACGATGTTAGGGCTTTCAGAGGTGCCGATGTATTTACTGACCATTTCCTGGTGGTAAGTAAAATCAAGCTGGAACTTAAAAGATATATAACATATAATCATATAAACTAATATAATGTGGGTTATTTCAAGGATAAAGAAGTTAAGGAAAAATTTTCAGTTACAGTCTCTAATAAGTACCAGGTGTTGCAGCAGTTAGCTGAAGATGTCAGCACTGAAGTCTGCTGGGATCAGATCAAAGGAATATGGAATGAATCTTGTGTAGAAGTTCTTGGCAAGAAAGAACGGAAACATAAAGCGTGAATAGCACCAGAAACAATTAAACCGGGTTGCCCAATGTCGTCGGTCGGGACAGCATTTGGGTCTGTCTCCTACGATCGCATCAACACAAGAGTCATTTTCAGGGCTTCTTGGTGGCGAGCAATGTTAGGCCATTTTAAATGGCGCACATAACCTAGTCACAATTGTAACCAAAAGCTCTCCGTTGAGGAATGCTGGTTAAACCTCACGATTTTTTTTATTAGCTTAAAATGGGACCAGACTGGGTAGAAACACCCCTCCCCACACACGATTCTTACTATCCATACAACACTCCCATATTCGATCATTACTATAACCATGTGCCTCACAAATCATACCTAACATTCATAGCAACTGCGCTCCCATGTACACCCCACCAACCACTCCATCCTCATCCTTTTTTGTGTGTGTGCCTAATGCATGTTCTATTTCAGGAAGACATATTTAAGATAGATATGATCATCTATGAAATAATTTCTACAATTTCAGATCTATCCAAAATCACAAACTGATTTCAGTAATTCGGCCTATTTAAATATTCGAAATTTTAAAACAGTAAGTGTAAGCAGGAAGTTGTGACAGCTCGGGCTCTTGTGAGGTTCATCTGTGGGCAGCAAGGATTATTACTAGGACGCAACCCAATTAGGACCAAATAACAGGACACATGAACAAATTACTCAACCGGATTGCAGGCAAAACCATCAGGATGACAAGGATAACATGGCCGCTATAGGACCTAAACATGTAGGAGTGAACAATAATCCAGTTAGGGACATAACGTCATCAAACCTGGCACACAAACCCTTAACCTCGGCCAATACACTTTGCACAAGTAAACCAGACCATAAATATATCCGCATGATGCTGGCAGCTTCGCTGCTAATAGCAGGTTGAATGTGGTCGTAAGAAGTTTTTCTTATAAAATAGGCAAAGACAAGACAGAAAAACGAAAAGTAATAAAAATGACAACTGTAATATCAAAAGAATACAAGCGATACACGGTTAATTTGACTGAACCGAGGTGTGGTGGGTGAGAAACTATATGTGAAAATGCGGCTGTCGTGTTATGCTAAGGGTTAAAAGTGGGGTTGGTGGAAAACGGGAGGATGGAGTCTTATCAACAGAGTGCAAGCCCAACAAATCCGCCTGTTGAAGTTCTGTTGTACTTCTCGGAAACATTTACGTCATTGATAAAACATTGCCGTAAGCCCGATAGCATACAAGGGAGAGAGCTGGTGGAGGGAGGGAGAATTCAATCACACAGCTAACGGAAATCAATACTGCCTGATCAGCCAATTCTTGAACTAGTCTTTGGAGACGGCAGCGGAGGTCAAAGGTGGATGCTTACTCCCCTACAGTAATTTGTTCATTGTATTTGTGCAATGAAAGTCTTCTGAGAAAGGGGGCTGTTTGTTATCTCGGCAATAAAAGTGCCGTTGTTCTCCATGTTTTTGCTCACTGTTTCGATTAAGAAATGATGGTTGGTTATAAGACGTCCAACAGCTTTTATGACTTTTAGTCAGTGGTACGAGAGTTGCACTGAGGACAAGTTTGGGGCATCAACAAGCAATATTCCTGTAGATTAAAGTGGCTATATTGCAACGAACTTTCACTGTGAAGAGACACATACACACACATGACATGTAAGATACACATACGCAATCGCACACACACTAAAGTATAATAGACATGCGCGCGCACAAACACACACGCATAGACACAAGTAGGTATGTGTAGAGAATAGCTAACAGAGATAAATATATTATTAGCAGTCTGAAGATGGTGGTTTCCTACATATCAAGGCTAGTTCCATGTCTTCACCAGGACCTCACCGACTAACTCCTATAATTTATTAGTCGTTTGTGGTTTCACTAGGCAATTTTACATTCAGTAGTTTCCGTTGCTCTCTGAACTTGTCTTTTTTTGTGCTGTCTTCACGACAAAGGTTGGCTACAGACTTGGTGAGGCCTCAATCTCTTCCATGGTGCCACTCATATACTCATCATCGTGTAGCAGGGCCTTTGCAGAACGTCGCTCCCATCAAGGTCTGCCTGAAAGAAACTCGGTCTCTCGCCAGTTCTCCCGCCTCATGCACTTTCACACTCAAGGAGTCACTTATACCCTGTGCCCATCTTCATGTTGGTCAGCCCCTGCCCCTCCTTCCTGGTATGCCTTCTGCTATATTTTTTCCCAATCCCTCGTGGCGCTTGATATGACCAAAATATTTCAGCTTCCGAGACAGGATGCTGTTTATTAGCCAATCTTCCTTGATGTTAAGATCTTTCAAGATGTCAGTATTTCTCCTCTTCTTTGTTCAGGATATTCTGAGAATCTTTCTTTGGCATTTCAGCTCAAAAGCCCCTATTCTCTTTCTTAAGGACTGGGAGATAGTCCACGACTCATATACTACTGTCCAAAAATTACGAGAACATTTTTTTAATACTGTCCATAGCGGGAAACGAACGCCAGTATTCGAGGATCATGTTAAAGGTTTTTGCTAAGCTTTAAGCCACAGTCGCTCTATGGGAGCCAGTGAACAGTGCGGAGGCACAAACTGATCATTAAGGTCTGAATTGGAACTCTTCGCTTGCTGCTGAGGATGGGAACGGAGCAGTTATGCGAGTGTCCCGAATCCTATTATGCCAATTCCTAATTCAACATTCAACATAAGTCACGGTCCTGAACGTTAAGGGTAACAACGGGGTTTCTGTCAATTGTACGGATCTCATTCTCAACCTTGAGATGTTAATCCTCCCAGAACGCAATCCCCTTCATCTTATTATTTTCTCGTCTCACTTATACCAGGTTGTAGCCCAGTGTTTGTGGTTCTCTGTATTTGTCTTGCGCCTCTCGGGTGGCTTGGGTGATGGGTTTGTTCATCTTTTTGCGGTTTCTGCTACACCATTTATCCATATATTTATTGGTCGTCCTCTGCCCTTCCTCCCAGATTTTCTGGTGTAAAAAGTCTCATATGCAGTTTGGTCTGGCTGCATTCTCACCAGATGGCAGAACCATATTATTCTTTGTCTCCAAATTAAATGCAGATATGGTCTTATTCCGACTTTCTCTCTAAAGCTGGTTTTGATAATCCGCAATCCTGGAGGGGAAAAACTTTGAAGAAAAAAACTGCAAAGAAATGTATTAAATGAAATTAATAAAATTGTGTGTGTTGTTCATCAAGATGTTGATGACCACTCTTTTTCATCAAATATGAGTACGAAGATGACTGATGAGGCCGATGCGGGCCCGAAAGGTTCTTGGACAGTGAGGACAGGGAATGAGCGTTGTGTCAGGGAGGGGATCTCCCGCAGGCGCCTTTCTGTCCATCCTTTTCCTAATAAGTCTTGCTGTTCTGTTTGCTTCACATGAAGCCGCGCCCTTGTGTAGAGCTGCACGCCATGCATTTCGGTTCTTGAGAGGCAGTCTCCCAATTGGTGTCATTCATCCCAAATGCTTTGAGTGAAGACTTCAAGATGTCCTTAAAGCGTTTCTTTTGCCCGCCTTGGGAACGTTTCCCATTTTGCAACTCACCATAGAAGAGCTTTTTTGGAAGTCTGTGATCTAGAATGCGTACCGCATGACCAGCCAAACGAATTTAATACTGCATCGGTAGAGTGTGGATGCTGGGCATGGCTGCTTTCTCAAGGACTACGATATCAGGTACTTTGTCTTGCCATCTCATTTGCATTAGTTTTCTAAGGCAGACTGTGTGAAAGTGGTTTAACTGTCTAGCCTGGCGCTGGTATACAATAAAATTATGTTATACAGGCCAGCATTGTAGCCGTTCAATTCCAGTGCTTACGTATGTTCACGTGTATTTTCTGTTCTCTCTCAGCCGTGAGGTTTTTGGAGTAAAAGCTCTGTGGTAATTGCTTTACAGTTAGATAAAAAGGAAACATGCCAGACACATTAAAAAAAAGTACATGAATAGTACACGAGACAGTAGGCCGAAGACAGACAAAATGACTGACGCTAAGCGCAGGGCCGTCTCAAAGCATGGGCCCTCTAGGCACTTGCCCGGGGCTCCCACAAGTATAGGGGCCCTATGCTAATCTGTGTATGTCAAGTGACTGGCCATAAATAAAAAGTATCATTGCTGTGAGTGGTTGTCGTAGGGGCCCTAGCACATTGGTTTGCTCAGGGGCCCATGATGCTGTTAAGACGGTTATTGCTATGGGGCATGTAAAATGTGAAGTCCTACACATATTCATATTAACACCGTCTTAGGCAGAAGTATTACTGTCGCAGCAATGGAAAAGCAGGTCGTAAGAGTCGACTAATTGGAAATTTTGAAGTCCGAGTGTCTGCCTATAGTCTGCATACAGATAAGTAAAGTCTGTGTAAAGTATGTGCATGCAACACTCAGATTCTGGAACAGGACTAGAGTTGAAGAACAGATTGAACTTTCCGCCGGAGTTCACAGTCGGTGAACGCGAAGAAGAAGTAGGAATATAAAGGAAGACATATAATGTAAACATTCAAACAAAGAACAGTTACCGTGCATTTGTTAGGTTTCTCTCCTGAATGAACTCTCATGTGGATGAGAAGCTTGTAGCGAGCATTGAACGAGCGGAACTGGCGAGGACAGCCTTGCCAAAAGCAAGTGAATTCGTCAGCCTTTCTCTGATCGATGTGAACTTTCTCCAGATGTCTAACCAACTCCTCCTGTTCCTTGAACATTAAACCACAGTCAATCCATCGGCAAATAGTGGGGTCATCCTCCTCACGATCTTCTTGCAGCACAGAATTCTGGGACATGTGTGCGCTGCTATCAGGAATATATACAGGGCTCATCGATGACGAGTTCATGCTCGGTAGAGCAGGACTTAATCCCATAGGGTGTATTCCTTGAGCCCCACTTGGACTTAGCTGAACACCTGATGGACTCATGAGTTGAACACCTGGACTCATCACCTGCAGGCAGGGACTCAAACCTGGACTCATAACTTGGAGGCAGGGACTCAACCCTGGACTCATGGCTTGGAGGCAATGATTGATATCCTGTACGCCAGGCTTTACCTGGAGGTGGTGCTGTTGCAAATGTTGAGCATACTGACCGTTCTGATGATTCTGGTGGGTTAGTGAATAGTTCTGCTGTAGGTTCTTTTGGTGTGACTGGTAATAGGGACTAAGATGCAAATTTTGTAGTTCATGGCGAGGATGACGATGGTGATGATGATTCTGTTCCACAGCTTCCCTGTAGGAAGGAAGTGATGGTATACCGTTCACCGAAGTGCAATTACTCATGCTTTGTATATCCCGATTGACATTAGTACTGACCATCTCAACTCTACCTGACAACATACAACTTGACTGTACAGAACATACAGAGAAGTCTCCCATTACTTGTTGCCCCTGACAACCTGTGTCTGAATAGCTATGATTTATTGACCCATCTTGTATACCATGCGTATACTCTCCTGGCATATTTAAGCCACTTGGAAAATTTCCAACCGAATAATTGTATTCAATAAAAGGCATTTCACTTTGTGGGGCGACATAAAAGTTATTCATAATTTCATCCATAATACTATTCTCTGTTGGGCCCATACTGAAAGGTGTGAAGCTTCCACCAGGACATTTATTCGCAGATCCATTCTGAGAGTATGGACTGCTGTTTCTAGCGGATAAATGAGAAAATGATCCCTGTTGGCCGGGCTGGGGCGATCCACTTGTGGATGATGTCCTGGATACCAGATATGATGCCAGGGATGTTGGTGATAGACGGATGATGTAGGTTAGATCCAAGCCATCAGACAGCGATGGAGAAATAGACAGGGCTCGCTTCTTGGCCGTTCTTGTGTAGATGTTGGCCGAGTGGGTAGGGCTGGTAAACCGAGATGGAAACGATGAGATGTCAGTACCGTAATGTGGTGATAGATTGCAGTCTGGGTTGTAGTTAGAGGTAGTATTGTCGGGGACAGCAATGCTGTGGGAATCATTGTCGCTTCCGTCCATGGCTGAAGAAGGGGCCGATGACAAGGGCTTGTAATGCTGCCAGTCTTGATGCTTAGGTAGGGAAGGTTGTAGGAAAACGTGTTTAGTATTAGAAGAATCGCCGTCTTTGAAGTGCTTAGACGTTGAGCCTACCATACTGCTGGAAGTAAGTTGCGAACCATGAGACTGAAGCGATGCTCGTTCATTATTTGAAGTCAGTGACATGGCAGGTGTAATTAGGCTGCTTCTAAGTGACTGCGCAGACCGAGAGACAATGCTGGTGACATCACTCGGTGTCGGCGTGTGGGTGTACAGTGTCTGCAGGACTGGCAGAGTCATTTGATTCGATCTGTTAATCGAATCAGTGCAGCTGGCAGTAGCATTGACCGTTGGCAACCTTGGCGGAAAAGGAACTGATCCTCTCAAGCTGTGTCCGTTATTCCCAACAGAATTGCTCATGCTGAAATACTTTCCGTTGTTGCAGCTGCTGCTGACAGCACACATGTTGCTGCTGTGTGTCGTGGCTACGGGGTTATTGTTGTTGCTGTTGCGAGGTGCCAGAGACACACACTGAGGTCCATAGCCCCCGGAGAGAACCTCTGTAACATATATTTGCAGAGTAAACAAAATAAGCTCCATACAAAACATCGATGGGGACAGTTCAGCAGAAGTCAACAGGAGGTGGGCAATAGCAGTACACAGATTAAAAAGCATTAGAGGTCAATCGTTAAACACCAGCAAGAAAAATCAAAGTTAAAATTTTGAGACCAAAAAGCTTTCCTGTAGCAACACACGGATGGCAGTCGTGGACTATCTCCCAGTCCTTAAGGAAGAAAATAGAAACTTGAGAGCTGAAATGCGGTCGTAAGAATCTCAGGATACCAAGGACAAATAAGAATAGAAATGCTGATATTCTTGAATATCTGAACATCAAGTAAAACTGGTTAATAAACAAAATCTTCTCTCGGAAGCTGAAATATTTTGGCCGCATCAAGCGCCACGATGGACTGGTTAAAAAAAAAAAAAAACAGCAGAAGGGATGGTTACAAAAAGGACGGACAGGTACCGACCAACACGAAGATGTACACAGCACTTAAGTGACTCACTGGATTTGAAAGTAACGAGGCGGGAGAGCTGGCGAGAGGCCGAGTTTCTTTCAAGCACACTGTGATGACAGCGTCATGCTCCTAAAGACCTGCGACATGATGATGATGAAAGGAAAGTCTAAACTAACCACAATGGATATTGCAAAAAAGACACGACGAAGTATTTAGAAACAGTTTTTTCAAAATTAGTTTCATATCTTTTAGTGGGTATTTGAAACAAATCAAATCGGTTTGTGTTTTTTAAAAGACAATATTTTAGTAAAATGTTTACATTCAATGTGTTGCCATTGTTTAAAAACGGGTATACTGTTGTTAAGACCAACGCAAAGCGGTCCTTTGCCAAATCGCCTGCAGCTGAATCTTCTTCTTCTTGGCGTTCACCGTTTGAACAATTTCGTCAGAAAGTTATAGTTGTTTGTCCACTCATGGACTGTGGTCGTGATCTAAAACTTGAGTTTTGCGTGTACGTCCGTTACACAGATGTGGCTTTTTTTGTATGCAGACGGTGGTTCATCCCTTGCCTCTCCGGCAGACGTACTCCAACTCTGAAGGAAACATCCCTAATTAGTCGCCGCCTACGACATGCTTTTTTTGTTCTCTAAAATGGAGCACGGGAGTCCACAAGAGGAAAGGTTAACTGAACCTGGTAATGTGGCATTATGAAACAGCTATCAATACCCCTGTCACAGATGCCCACGTCACGTTCCCCCCCCACCCCCACCATCCTCACTCTCCCCCCCCCCCCCCGGGTTCACCCCCCGAGAAACGGTACGTATAAACAAAATGTGTTCTGTTTTCGACGAGCAAAAAAACTAATAGCACACGAACAACAACCAGGAAACTAAAGAATAGAAGCATTCAACAAAACCACGTTATGAGGCAATAATGTAAAGTGTGTGGCTTCAAAGGAGTTTCCATCGCTTTATTCAGTCGCCTAGTTCCCAACTGAGCAATTGCACTAGACAGGTTGTTTTTTCTTTCCTCATCTGTCGTCAGATATCGCATTAATCAGAACCGTTTCAAAATATTTTAATACCAAAATATGTTAACATTTTTCGAAGAAAGACAGCTTTCTTAGCAGCCCCATCTCTCCACATGATAGACTTCCACTATGCTATAGTGAAGCGTCGGCTCTGTGGCTAAGTCGTTGCAGACGCTTCGTAATGCCGGGATGCCGGGTTCGATCCCAGCTACAAGCCATGCGCCTTGCGTTGGTTTCGACAGTGGTATCAAGAAACCCGACCGTCCAGAGGCAATGGCAAACTACTGGATGTAAATTTGCCTAGAAAAAAACCACACAACAGCCAGGGGCTGTTGAGGTTGGTTCTGCAACGTCCTGTAAAGGATACGCAACTAACCTACCGATAGTGAAGCATGGGAGCCGCTGTGGAGTAGCGGCAAGACGCCCGCCTGCAGAGCTGAAGGTCGTGGGTTCAGTTCCTGGCTTTCTTTCTTCAAAAACTACTTTGGCTCCTAGGTCGACACAGCCTTAAATGGGTACCACGTAAATTTCTCAGAAATAAAGACCACATCACCCACCGAGTTTTGATTGACCTATACAATATAGATCTAGCCCTACATACCCAATACGCTTGAAGGCGTGGAAAAAATATCTTTTACTTTACTTGTTATAGTCAGACATGAGAATCCAGCCTACAGCGATGGAGTATGTGACTAGCAAGAGAAGCTGGCAATAAGAAGAATCTTCCACAGTGAATGCAAGAGATTTTAGGACCACGGGTGTCATCGTAAACAAGTGGCATGTTTCTTCTCAGACGTTCAGTTCTTAATATGTCTGCGACCTGTTTTCTTTTTCCTGTCATTATTCAATTCCTGACACTCACCCCCTCTCCCTCTTATTCTTCTTAACAACGCGCGATTTGATGAGGCAGGTGATGACGATGATAATGATTTGCAGAGAACGGAAGACACATACATAAAATACAACATACAGGACGCAAAGACCTTACCCTGATTCCGAAGCTTGTTTGGAAATGTACTCGTCGCTCTAGGTACAATTTTGAGATGCTTAATGTTCGTAGACGTGATCTCTGGATTAGTTTTATGGCTGGATCCATTTTTCCCAAGTGTTAGTGTGGATCTGTCATTGGCGATGAGCGATCGTGGGGTGTGGATGGCAGGAAGTGAGCTGCCTTGATCCCCAGGGCCTGGGGTACTGTGGGTTGATGTGGGAATAGGAGTGTCTGCTTGCACGCGCAACATGGGGATATTGCGAGGCCCATTTTCTGCTAGATTCTGACCTCGAACTCTACCCCTGTGGGCTCCACCTTTGGATTGTTGGCCACTTACAGGAATGTTTGATCCCTGTCCGTTCATTATTCTGCAAAACAAACACCAACGATAGTTATGAAAGTGCAAAAATGGATGAGAATTAAGACAATAACAAATTTGGGAATTAAAAAGATAAGGATGAAAATACAATAGCAAAGATAAGCATGCGAGTCAGGACAAGGATGTGGACATAATAACACCTGGGGCACTGACATAGAAAATAAAGAGGTTAATCTAATCTACCTACAATATTTTCTTAGGGGGAAGGGGGCGCTGTGGATTACCGAAAGGATTCTCGGTTCCTTGATAATTCGCCAAACATGCTTTTAATGCATTGCATGAAATGTCTCCGTAGGTATCGGAACAGCGGGACTGAGCACCCCCCCCCCCGCCCCCCCCCCACTCTTTTGGCCTCCTTAAAAAAATGTAGGGTTGGGCTTATGTTTATTGGTCACATAACACATTACTACTACTACTACTATTACTACAACCACCACCATCACCAACCCAACATCATCATCATCATTTCTCACTTAAAACTTTAACATATCTTCGGCCCGCTTGAGGTTTCCCTAGGAAATCTTACGCAACCAAACATCGTTTTAAAGCATTGCGTAAAATGTCTCCGGGGGTATCGGAATAGCGGGACACCCCCCCCCCCCCCACCTCCCTCCCCGCTTGGCCTCTTAAAAAAATTAAGGAGGTGGGTGCTTATGTTTATTTGTCATACACCACCGCCGCCACGACGACTACTACTACTGCTACTGGCCCGGCTCTCTGGCGTAGTTGGTTAAACCCGACTTTCGCGGCGGTCGGGTGACGAACTCCTTGTGGTCCGTGTTCACTCCCGGGAGTAGGCAGAAAAGCCACATTTCTCCAAGATTAACTGTACCTATAATGGAATCAAGGCCGAAGGGTTGCGATATCTATAGTACCGAGCCAAAGGGTTTATAACTCATGGTTTCTGGATACTTAAAAAAAAGAAAAACGACTGCTACTGCTGCTGCTGCTGCTGCTACTACTACTACTACTACTACTACTACTACTACTACTACTACTACTACTACTACTACTACTACTACTACTACTACTACTACTACTACCACTACTACTATCATCATCATCATCATTACTCATGTACAAATATCTTCGGCCCCTTGAGGCCTAGGAAATCTTACGCAGCGGAAGGCCCCTTCCGGGCCTCCTCAGTGTTTTCTTTGTGTCTGCACCCCCGGGTGCCAAGATCTTTAGTGTCAACAGTCATGCATGTCAACCCGTGACCTTTCTTACACAACACCCCCCCCCCCCTTCCGCCCCAGTTATGTTCTTTCTAACCCACTGTGGTTTTTAATATGGCCAACAGCATCTTTCTGTTTCCAACATATGATCTGATTATGAGCAAGTTTTGCTCGAAGGTGCCATCTTTTGGCATGTTGGCATTTTTCTTCTTCTTGGTGCATAGTATTTAAAAAAAAAAAAAACTTTTCTGTTAGTTGGAAAGCTTCGATTAGACTTCTTTAGTGAATAATAACTGGTTTATTGGCTAAATTAACACACTGAGAAAACAGGAGAACAGCATAACTAGAATGTCTTTGCATTGGAACCCACAGTGGCATAGGAATAAAGGAAGGCCAAAAAACACATGGAGAAGAGAGCTGGAGAATGAAGTTAAAAAGATGGGGAGGACATGGGGAGAGCTCCATGCAATGGCGAAGGAAAGAACGACTTGGCTTGAGTTGGTTGAGGGCTTATGCTCCATTGGGGGATAGAAAGGCAGAAGAAAAAGAAGAAGAAGAAGAATTGGCTAAATCTTAAACATCGTCAGCTGCATCGAAATAAGGACTGACAGATGAGACAAAGGATTATATAATAGATGAACTGGTAGATAAAGTGGTAGATAAGATTTGTGAGTGGTGACAAACCCACAACCAGTTAAACGTAAATGAGTTAATAGTGAAATGCTGTCTTGCTGTTAAAATTCTAACTGGCAGGTAAACATTACTAGAAAACAATTAAGTATTGAAAGTATAAACTCTCACCTATTTTCAACAAATGTGAATTAAAGATATCATAAACAATACTATCCGTGTAGTGAAGACACCTCATCTACCGCTTGCCTTCCTACGCATAACGCCGAACATGCCGGAATGGGCAAACTTGCAAAAGTTGCCGATTTCAAGGAGACGACAAAAACAGCATTTTAAAAAGTACTAACTCAGATTCTGGAGTTTTTAATCATACGGCACACTAGGATAGCAACAGGAACACGGCACAGCACCACGTGGAATAATTACTTTATGGCGACACAAAAGGGAAATAAGGAAAGAAAAAATAATGGTAAAGCCGGCCATTTAATCAACTTGTGGCTTTAAATAGACATGTAAATGAATTCTGCGGTTGTATAGCAACATGACGCTTTTCTCTGGATGAAACCAGTCATCAACGGCAGGATATCGCTCAAGCGTAGACTATCGGCTGTGTATCGATTTTTCGATGGGAAGTCAAGACACTGACAATTTATCGGTCAAAGAAGTAATATAAATTGATTATTATTTTTCAAACTATCGGCTACTTTCATCTATGAAATGACTTCCGGGTTTGGTACCATTATCGTCTCCGTAAACAAAATCGCCATTTGTTTCGTTAAAGTGCTATTTCTTTGCATTTATTCTCGTTTTGTTTTGTGTCCGTCAGGCATACCGAAAATATGTGATTAGTGAGGACCGTCAGCACAACACCTCGGATAGATACATAAGGTTAGTTGCGTATCCTTTACAGGACGTTGCAGAACCAACCTCAGCAGCCCCTGGCTGTTCTGTGGTTTCTCTTGGCAAATTTACGTCCAGCACCCTGCTACCACTGTCGAAACCAACGCAAGGCACATGGCCCGCAGCTGGGATCGAACCCGGCACCCCGGTATTACGAAGCCTTCGCATCGACTTAGCCACAGAGCCAACATAGATACATATTTGCTCCGATTTCCTTCTCAGTAACCCGACAAGAGTATCAAGACTGATTGTGCCATTTCTGTGTTGATTAACCAAATGCCTTGTACCCTTGGTGAAATGTTCATATCTGGGCACTCCAGGTTGTATCTTCGTGTCCTCCAACCTGGACAAGAATACTAAGTCCTGCTTGTCGTCGTGATCTTCTTTGCGATATGCAGCTCGCATGGCATTAAATACATCACTTCTATCAAGTGCCGGACCAGTCATGGTAACAGCCTTGTCTGATAATCTGCACGCCCATGGTCTTGAACATCCTCAATGCCCGGCACAGAGATTTGAAAACAAGCAAACAATTGATTCAAAAATAAAAATAAAAAATCTATAACGGCACTATGCAGGTGTCGCCAAGCTGATTCAAGCTCTGAAACGACTTCTCAAGTTATTTACCGCTTTCTTCTTGTCGCTACAATTGCCATCAATAAGAAGTTGTGATAAAATACTATTCTTTATTCTTTCCTAAAGTGGTCGACCGTATCCAGATAACCTCCTTATATGTGAACCATATATGAGATACGCACCTCTGCCAAATATAAAACCTACCCACAACTTGACTCCAGTTTACTTCGTAACCGTTTAATGATGCCCCAGTTTAACTGTTTTGTGATGCCCTAATATAACTGTTTTGAGATAATTGTGAGAACAAGTATCTTAGAAGAATACTAAATCTTCACTGGACAGAATTCAGACCTAGTACGCACATAAGACAACAGACCAAGCAAGATAATGTATCCAGTTTTATCAGAAAGCGCCGTTGCAACTACATCGGCCATGCACTTAAAATGGATAAGACAAGACTCCCCCATCAAACCCTCATACAGACACCTAAAGGGAAAATAAAACGGGAAGACCAAGAGTGACCCTTCGTTGAACGATCATTAGGAAAGGCTCAACCATTAGCCTAGCAAACATCCGATACTTAAAACAGTAAAACAGGTGGCAACGAACCGCCAGAAACGGAAAGCTAAGACCTCTAGAGGAAAGACTAACTAATATAACTGTGTTGCATGTCTACAGCGGTTGAACGGATTTTCCATAATTTGCAGACTGCAAATCTGGAGGGTAATAACTATTTAAAAAAAAATACACAGGCTTGTGGCATTCGGCTGTGCCTACAACAACTCTTTAAGAAAGACAAAGAACAAACACGACTCGGAAATTATTGTCGATCAGTGAATATTTATAGCCTAAATTAACTGTAATAGATAAGTCTTCATCGTCTTCTTTGGCTGTCAGCTCCGGCAGAAAGTTCTAGTTCTTTATCTACCCCTAAAATTTAGTCTTCTTCCATAACCTGAGTGCCTCATGCACATCGGTGTTACATATCAGGATTATTTGTATGCAGACTGTTAGTTCAACCGCCTCGCAGGCAGATGCACTCCGACTTCGAAGGAAGCCCCCAGTCAGTCGCATACGATGTTTTTTTTTGCGGAGGCAGTGGATCTACTCTTGTTTTACCCACACAATGAAGCGCCAGAACCCAACCAGAACCCAAACGAAGATAGTAGATCAATGATTTTTGGGAAGGCAAAGAACGGGAAAGGGGAAGGATTGGGGATTGATATAACTGCTATTTTGGGGGAAATCAAATCAAATGTTACGTTCCCTATGGATACTTTCTTGAACTAACTCGTTTATCGTCATATTTTCTACTCTCTCTCTCTCTCTCTCTCTCTCTCTCTCTCTCTCTCTCTCTCTCTCTCTCTCTCTCACACACACACATACACACAGAACAATACACATTTTGAAACACATTTGATAAATTTAGACAGACTGTAAGCCTGTAAGATGTAGACTTATTAAAAAAGCGTCTGAATGGTGTGTCAGAGGTGGAAGCTGGTGGTGATGATGAGGATGATGTTGATTATGACGATGATGATCCTATGGGAGAGGGGAACGGGAACCTAAAACTGTTTTGGAATATAATCAAACGTGACTCTTTCTCGCTCATTTACAACCTGCAAAATGAACACATGGAAAAACATGACGGGCTTCAAAAAGGTAAAGCATCCAAACAGCAGATAGTTGCCAAGAGACCTC